AAAGAAAGAAAGAAAGAAAGAAAGAAAGAAAGAAAGAAAGAAAGAAAGAAAGAGAAAGGGAAAAAGAAAAAAAGAAAGAAAGAAAATGCAAATCCATTATTGCCTATGGACAGATGTGAAAAGAACAGAAACTGAATGAAATCATTATTATGCTAAGTGTGGTGAGGGGTTCCAAGGTTTGTACACATGTCAACACTCATGAAATTGAGCATTTTACATACATGCAGTTTCATGTACTTCAATTGCATTTCATTAATCCATACATACTGATTCTTCAATAAAGTTGAAGCTATTTTCTTAAAACCAAAAATATAAAAGATTTTTTGGTGCTTTTCTTGGATTTGGATTAATTTTAGAAAATAATTAGAATCATCAACTGGTATCTTTAAATACTGAGTCATTCTGTGTAAAAAAAGGCAACACATCTTCAGTTCAAGTTATGGTTTATATACTTCAAAGTACTCGAATGTTTCCCTCATGGGATTTTCATATTTGTAAAACACAATCACATATATTTTATCTTTTTGCTGCAATTGTAAAAAAAAATGTTTACATGTTGTAACTAGTTATATTTGTGTATTGATTTCTGAATGTTAATTTAATTTTTATTACCTTGTTGAGTTCTCTTTATTAGTTTTATCATTTAATCTCTATAAATTTAGAAATAAGCTATTATATCATCTATAATTAGGGTATTTTTTCCTTTTAATGCTCATGTTCCCAGTTGGTTTTTCCCAAATGCACTGATTAACAGTCATGATGGGTTGGAACACATACTTCCTTTATTCCATAACTTAGAAAGACATCAGGGTCCCATGAAAATAAATAAAGAAATAAAAATAAAGAGATTTTAATATGTTGAATAAAACAAGTAAAAACATATTAAAGCATGATCAATAAAATTATCATTCTCGTTCTCTAGATATTTTTTCTTCTCTTTTCCTTTTTTTTCTAAGTGGATTTATGTTTTTTCCTCAAGCATTAATGAATGATACTGAGGACCAGGTTACATGTCTCCTAACATTCATATCAGTAGAAAATTCAGTAACTCTCTAATAGCAGGTATTCAGTAAGCAAGCCAGGATCATTATGGAGAAAAGAAGAACTCTGAAAATATCTAAACTCTCATTCCTTTTCTATCACACTAACAAAATTAAAAACCTAAAATTCACTTTTTTTATCAAAAGATAAGAACATTAATACTTTACAAAATTCTTTTTCATTTTATTGTTAATATTGAATTCACTGTAGATTGAAAGCATTTTTAAAAATTTATATTTGGGTTGTGGGCATAGCTCAGTAACTCAGTAATACAGCACTTTCCTAGCATATTGGAGGCCCTTGTTTGGATCTTCAGCAAGGCCAAAATCTTAGATACAATAAAGATTATATTTCAGTGGAAACTATTAATCTCTCCCATCTATCAATCTTTAAAAGCAAGATTCATCTTCCCATCCAGACCCTCCTCAGTGCTTTCTTCACATCCTGGTTCTGCAGACTGTATATCAGTGGATTCAGCATGGGGATCCCTGTGGTGTAGAAAACAGAGGACACCTCCTCCTGGTCCAGAGTGTTACTTGAAGGAGGCTTGAAATACATGTAGGTGATAGACCTGAAGAAGATCCCTACAGCCATGAGATGAGAGCTGCATGTTCCAAATTTGGAGTGTCCCTCTGAGGACCGGATGCAAAGGATACTGAAGAAGATGAAGGCATAGGATACAGCAACAGAAAGAGTGGACATCAGTGTGTTGAACCCAGCAATGATAAAAAGGAAAAGCTTATTAGAGTGTGTGTTGGAGCAGGAGAGATTGAGAAGGGGAAGAACATCAGAGAAGTAATGACTGATGATGTGGGATTTGCAGAAGTTCCATTTCATGATGGCACTTGTATGGGCCACAGCAGACAGAATGCCCAGCATGAAGGAAACCAGCATTAGCACAGAGCAGAGCCAAGGTGACATGACCACATTGCCCAGCAGTGGATTACAGATGGCAGTATAGTGATCCCATGCCATGGCAGTCAAAAAGTAACCCTTAGCTACCATATAGATCATAAAGAAAAAGATTTGGCCCATGCACTCACAATAAAGGATTGTATTCTTCTTCCCAAGGAAGTTCACCAGCATTTTGGGGGTAATGTCAGAGGAATAATGGAGATCAATGAAGGACACCTGCCCAGGAAATAGTACATGGGAGTGTGAAGCAGAGGGCTGAGATCAATCAGGAGCATCATGCACAGGTTCCACACAACTGTCACCCCATAGATCACCAAGAACAGGAGGAAGAGGGGCAGCTGGAGCTCATTCAACCATACTAAGACAAACATGGTTACTGTAGAATGATTTCTCATGGCCATTACTTATTGGAGATTGCTGCGGGAATGGAAAATATGAATGACATTAAAATGGACCTTCAGTACTCTTCCCCATCCCTAACAAATGATAGCAAACCTTTAGAAGTGAGGTTGATAAAATAGGAAGACTCAGTCATGGTTTTCCTTATCTGTGATCCTCACAGTCTTCCCCTTCTCCCTAAATCTACTGGAACTTATCCCAAATTGCCCCAAATTTTAGACAACATTGTTTCCTGATTGACTTAGAAGGCTCTGTCTCATGAAATCTGTGGCAAAAACAAACTTTTTAATATCATAATAATTACTGTTAACCATTTGTTGAAAAAAATAGGATAAATTATTGGCAAATTATTCTAATCATTATCAATTTCCCCAGTTTTGTCAAACTCTAAGACCTGCAAGCATCTCCCACAAGATGTGGAACAACAGAGGGAATGAAGCATCAGCCACAGAGCATTGAAAACCATCTCTCAATACCATTTGTAGTCAGGGTTGTCAAGAGATTCGGTTTAAGTCATCTAATTACTATACTGCATAAAAATGTCTAACAATCCAAGGTAAGAGTACTGTGAAGGACTGATCTGACATATTTATCTGACATATTCATCTGACATATTTATCCTCTGCATTAAGGTGGCAGGTTGGAGTTTTAACTCTGCGATCCCTAATGAAGCGCAGGCTCCTATAAATCAAGTGGTCAATGATAAAATTCATAATGAGAATCTCCTCAGTCTTTCTTCCCAGAAAAGTTGCCTGTCTGGATCACTGGCAGTGAACGAGTATCCCCTTAAGAACGAGAGCCCACACCCATTAAACATCCTGTACCTGGCAGGAGATGGTGCTTCTGAGGGTGCAAGAAAGTATTTTCTTATTGATGTAAACCATGAACTCTTCAAATGCCTGGTATTCATGATAGTTTTTGTCCTATGTCTAAAGATAGAATATCTATCTATATCTATATCTATCTATTTATCATCTATCTATCTATCTATCTATCTATCTATTCATATATTATATTCCTGTTTTGTATGTGAAGGACACTGTGTTCAGGAACTTTCACAGTCAGGATTTCAGTCCAGGAAGTATAGTGCCAGAATTCCCTTTTTCTCCCCCTAGTATTAAGTGATAGATTAATATGTGAATATTAACTGTCTTCTCATAAACTCAGAGGATGACAGACTCTGAGGAAATGTGAATATTTTTAGATGTTACAGAATGGCTGAGACTTCAATGCATTTCCAGGAATCCCCAAGACAAGATGATGTCCAACAGGTGTACTGGGCTCATGCACAGTGAGCAGTCTGGGCAAATGGACCATCCTGAAGAGTTTACAAGTGGAAAAGCAGAGATCTACCCCAAAGCTCTTTCATTTATAATTTTTTCCTAAGGTTAAAGGAGGCTTGGACAAAATACAGAGAAAGGAAAAGTGTTAGTTTTGTCATTGGAAAAGCCTTTCCAATAGAATAGCAAATGTTAAAAGATAATACCTGAAAGGACAGTTTTCCATAACAACTTAAGGGGAGGTACATGAAGCACTAAAATCACAGCCTTGCGCAACATTTCCCGATGTTCTAGATTTTCTGTGGAGAAAAAAAGCAAAATAAACATGTGTGCTTGAATTTTCCAGTTAATATTTGTATATGTTGAAGTTCACAGTGAAACGTATGTATTAAAAGCTATAAACAATCCGGAGGGAAAAGAATCTCCCCAACTTTTGAACTCAGTATTTCCCATGTCCTTTTGATAACAAAAGTGCTAAATGACCTTAAGCAGATAAAACTTACAGTCTACTCAACTAACCAATACAAATGTTTCAGTGTCCAAAGAAGGGTGATTTAAGGGTTGAATTTACTGTTGATCAGTTTTCAACATTTATTTTATTAATATGTATCACTTGATATCAATAAAATTTCTCTAAAACAAAGTAACAGAAATTTCATGTGATCTATGAATTTAATATAAATGTCATTAATATGAATATCATTGAATGTAACTTACAATGTGTAAATCCAGAAAGTAGGAATGAGTGTCTTTCAAAGGATTCTTATGATCACCAAAAATAATGAGTATAAAGATTTATTATCTAAAAACATGTATCAAAATTTAATGTGGTCCATATTATTAAAACACAGATGGTTACAGAAAATCCTAGAATGTGAGGAGATAGAAATGTGCTATTTTGGTTATAAGGAGATAGTCTCCTGTGTGTTTTACTCATTTTTTTATTCTTCACCTGGGCTTAAATAATGAAAATGTTACATACTTGGGGCTGGTTAGGTGTTTAAATATTTGTACCTCTAGATTTGAAAATTGAGAAAGGGGCCTTAGGCTAAGCTTTGCTAGGCCTTAGAGGTGGGGAATTGAGGACAATGAATCCTCTTTATCCCAAAGAGGGAATCTTGGGTAGTGTTTTTGAGTTCAGGAAGAAGCAAAGCAGAGCTATAAGTGCTGAATGAACCCTAATTTATCCCACAGTGGCCTGAATACATTCTTTTAAGACAGATGAGAATATAGGAACTTATGTTTAATATTCTGCCACAAAAAATACTGTCCTGTGGATTACATGTGCCCTTGTTACCTTTATCTCCTGGAGACTTATGTATATGAGTTGGTGCGCAAGAAGTCAAGGAAAACAAATACAGAAGCCAAAAGCACGTTGATGAAGCAAACATGATGGAGTCATAGAAACCTCAGTGAGGCTCTATGCTCCAGAGCTCATTAAATTTAAACCTGAAATCATTTCCACAGAATGTGTGATGAAAGTCACAAAGATGTGACAAATAACATTAATAGAAAAGGAAGAGGGAGGACAAACCAACTAGAGAGAATACCAGAGCAAATGCTCCTGTGTACAGCCAATCTGTTGCAAATTGGTTGGCATTACTGATGATCTTTTAGATATGATAGAGAAGCTATCATTGCTATTAGACATGTTACAATTTCTGTGGCTAAACTGGACACATACCTTGATCCCGCATGGAGATTGAAGTTCTCAGAATTTGCTCACTGTGCTCATGTCAGAGATCACTCTTGCAGCCATCAAACGACAATTCTCTCCTACTTCTAGACATACATATTTATGTAACAAAACTGAATTATTTGATAGGACAAAATGAAAACATAAAATTCATCTGATATTACCAACTCTCAGCACCTTGAAACAGATCATGGTATCAAAATAGGAGAGTGATATGAAATGCAGCTTTTATCTAAGGTTCAGTGAGCTGAGGGATCTCATTAAAAATACAAAATACACCCATCCAAACACAAATCCCCCAAGACTTCTTGAGCCCAGACATAGTTGAAATGCTCAATATTTAATAATCCTGTACAAAAATGTTCTGTCCCAAGAGTGGATAAGTTTCTAGAAGATTCTTCTTATTATAATCTCAAGGTGTCAATGAGAATTCTGTAGTAGAAAGAAATCAGATTAATAATTCCCCGAAGCCAGATGGAACTCATTTTCTAATTTTCTGTAATATCATCTATTACTTAAAAAAATTGGATGGGGATATGGGGGTAGAATAAGAGCATTGTCAGTTTTACTTTATAAATTGTTCTTGGGATTCAAAATATTATTTAATTTTTTGATATGGTTCTAAAACCACATTAAAAATAGTTAGATTTTTGTTATTTTATCCTTGATTATTTGTGTATTGCCTTTACTTGTCAAACCACATTTTGATAACCCTATGGTACTCCTTCATTGAACTTTTGTGGTCGTGGAACATCCTAATTCTGAGAACTGGGGAATGATTAACATAGGTAAAATTTTCTATTTATGTTTCTCTTCTGAGAGCTCAGGTCAGAAATCTTGTAGGACCCTGAGAAAAATGTTCAATGAACTCTTTCCCAATGAAGTCATCTTTCATTTTGAGAATTTAGTCTTATCTTGTTCTGTTCCAGTATGTTTTCTGGTGACTCTAGTTTATGTCATTAGTGAATTAAGCATCTTCCATTGATTTCCATCATTACATCTGTTCAAGATTCCTCCCATTCCAGGACATTTCATGGACAGCCACTGTCAGATATGACATTTAACAGCCGTTTCAGTGTGTTAGTCAGCTTTGCTTTACTATGACAAAGAGAAAAAGAATCTAAAAGAGGAAAGGTTTATATCAGCTCATGGTTTCACAGTTTATTCCCATGATCCTCTGCCTCCTTTGCTTTGGGTCTGAGACAAGGCAGAACATCATGACAATGAGAGTATGCTGGAGGCTGCTCACTCCGGGGCCACCAGAAGCAGAGAGATGATGTGGGACCCTGGGTAACTCCCTTCCTGTCAATCCCCTCTGTTCTGGCTGATGGGTGTGTACACCAACCACCCCTTGGATTACGATAGGTAATTAGAGCGTGGCAAAGCTGGCTCGGGTTGTAGGCATGACCTGTTAATTACAAGATGTTGGACACGTGAGCAGAACAGTTATCAAAACCCTACATGTGGCCTTCTCCCAATAACTTGAGCAGGTTTTCCATAGGATGGCCTAGACCTGACATCAATCTGAGGCTTGAGATCTAAGAATCACCTCTTATACCCATATGTAGAAGTTTTGGTGGGTTTCTTTGAGATTTGGATAGCATAAAAAGAGAGACAATCCTTGAAAAGCTTGGTATCCTAACTTTCCAAGATATTTTTGCTTTTACCTGCTTTTTTCTCTTTACTTGGTCCAAGCTGGCCTTGCAGAGCCAGTTTCTCTCCCACTCTTCACTTTTACTTTCTTTTTTTCAATAATTTTATTGGTACATTTTAGGTATACAACATGCTGACATTCATTATTGGGAATTTGTACCTTTATATAATATATCTTGGTTCTTATTTTTTCCCCCATTCCTGTGACTTCCCCTCAACCCCTCCACTCTTCCCTATTTACAAAGACTTTGTTTCCATTTCTCATATTAATTTCATTCCCTTCTTTCCTTTCCTCTACCTCTTCCACTTCTCCTAACTCTTTGCCCCTTTTCTTCCTATTTCACATTATCTATTATGCTTTTTAGTCCTTATT